CACACACACACACACACACACACACACACACACACACACACGAATAGATCTGATCAAGTCACATTGGGAAGGAGTCCATAGGAGTACCCATCACTATGTATCAGCTCTCTTTTTAAAAACACATTTAATTTTTTTTTTTTTTTTGGTTTTTCGGGACAGGGTTTCTCTGTATGGCTCTGGAACCTGTCCTGGAACTCACTCTATAGACCAGGCTGGCCTCGAACTCACAGAAATCATCCTGCCTCTGCCTCCCCGCATGCTGGGATTAAAGGCATACCAACGCCTGGCTTAAAAAAAAAACACATTTAATTTTTGAAATAGGAAAATAAACAACACATCTTAAAAGTCAAAAGGTATACATTGGAGCTTATGCAATGAAAAGTCTCCCTCTCGTTCATGCCACCAAACTGTCTGTGCTTGAATAGCCCTCCAGAAATATTTTGTGTCTACGTAAGTAAAAAACTACATACTCTTGCACTCAACTCATCTGTTTTACATACATGGTAATAACCACTCTACTCGGTTTCTTGATTTTTCTCACTCTATACATTATAGATTATATAACATACAGTATAATATTCTTGTATAACTAAGCCCTGACCGATACTTAATATATCACCAATCTTCTGCTACTATAGGCAATATTCCATTTAACTTATAAGTATTTATAGAATTAATTCTTAGATAAAGTGCTAAGTCAAATGCATGTTTATAAATATGAATGGCTCTTTTCGAGTTACTGACTTAAATATCAGGAATTCTAAATTTTTATCCTAGGAGGAAATAAAATCTAAGATTATATTATCACACAATTTTCAGGAAGAACATACACCCCTATGACGCACAAAATGAGCGTTTATTACATTTCCCACATTTTCAAAGATCATTACATTTTTATATAATAAATTTCAGCCTTCAAGCTGTTGAAAAAATCTATGTTATGTAAAGAATGTTACCTTTGAGATCTTCCAGAACAAGGTCAAAGCCTGATGCTCCAAGTTGGTGGACGTTGGCCACTCACTTCACAGTATGATACTGGATTCTTCACTGCAACCATAGGATATTTTAAAAATTTGAATAAATAAAACATATTTACAAAGAATTCTTTATCCTTATTACAATGCCCAAATAAGCATTTCTTCTCTTAGGTAAAAATTATATATGAAAAAGGGGAGGGGCTAAAGGCAAAATTGCCAATGTTCCTCTCATCCCATGGTGGTAGATTCCTAAATCTTTCTGCTTAACTACAAAGCATAGTACAAAAGGATTTTGTGATAAATACCGAATGGGTGTTGTAGAAACACAGGAGCTTCTTTGGTAATAGCTGGGTAAGATCAGAGAGCAACTGACCCATTTGTGAGAATATCTACTTCCAAAATCTCTAGCTTTCCATTCACTACCAATTATGCATTATTGCTGTAAAGGTGCCCAATTTGTTCACAACTCCTTACATCCACTCTTTGAATGGTCTGCCACAATGTCTCTGGACTTGGTCATGAATGCACTCTTGTGATTTACCAACAGAAAAATAGCAAATTCGACAGAAGCAGACACTTGAGAAAAGTACTTAGGTACTGGCTGGTGCTTTGTCTTACTTGCTTCTCTCTTTTGGGACTCTGAGTCTATGTTACTAAGTCCACACTAGCCACCTAAAAGAGACCACATAGAATGATGAGCCATCCAAGCTCATCTAAGCCTCCAACCTAAACATTTAGTCTACCAAGCACCAGCTATCTATGCAAGGCCATCCTAAATCATCAAGCTGCTAACTAACCACTTTCTCTTACCCACAAAAGCTAACTAGCACAGGTTACTTAAAAGTATGTTTGTGACCCAATATATATGGCAAGGGGAAGAAAACACTGCTTTTCTCTTGTGATGTTTACACTGTACATAAAAACAGTTTCCAGCCGGGCAGTGGTGGTGCGCGCTTTTAATCCCAGCACTCGGGAGGCAGAGGCAGGTGGATCTCTCTAAGTTTGAGGCCAGACTGGTCTACGCATCGAGTGCCAGGACAACCTCCAAAGCCATGCAGAGAAACCCTGTCTCGAAAAACAAAACAAAACAAAACAAAAAAAAAACCACCCAAAAAAACCAACCAACAAACAAACAAACAAAAAGCCAGTTTCAAGCCAGGCAGTGGTGGTGCATGCCTTTAATCCCAGCACTTGGGAAGTAGAGGCAAGTGAGTCTCTGTGAATTGGAGGCCAGCCTGGTCTACAGAGTAAGTGCCAGGAGAGGCTCCAAAGCTACACAGAGAAACCATGTCTCAAAAAACCAAGAGTAAATAAATAAAGTTTCAAATATAAAAACCAGTACTTGAATGAAAATATGAAAAAATATTACATAAAAATGTTTCAAAAAAATGTTTCAATTCTTTCCAGAGTCTCACAAATGTGCTGTCTGCCATCACAGATGGCACACACACAAAATTTAAAACATGACAAATTTCCATTTAGTCACATTAGTATCTTAATTATGATATATTTAAACTAAATCCTTGTACTCCACAGTTCCATTTGTAATGCTAAATCTAGAATTCCAAAAATTACTTTTCCTCCCAATTCCAATTGTTTATCTATTTCACAGGGCTTAATGAAAGCTGAAGGATTAGTCTTAATGAAGCCTAAAATGCAAGATATGAACCTAATTAAACCTCTTTCTACCAGCATTCTTAAGCAGTACCTTCTTCTAGTATCAAGGCAACTTTTACCAATATTCACAGAAGACAGTAAAAGTCATCTACCAACATTCTGGTGGAGGTTTTATACAGAAACATCACCTCTATTGGAATAAAAAGTAGAATACTGAAGAAATGACTTAAAGCTTTTTTAGGCACCACTGGATACTTTTCTCAAGTACACACAGACACACACAGACACACACAGACACAGACAGACAGACAGACAGACAGACAGACAGACAGACAGACACACACACACACACACACACACACACACACACACACACACACACTCACTCACTCATGCAGTTTAGGAAAAGTTTAATAAAATACCTTGAAGTAGCCTCTGCCAGTCTCCCAACTCAGTGCTATCACAACAACTATTTCCTCTGCCTGGCAACTTCTTCTCTCTACCTTTTAGCTTATTTATTATTATTCTCGAGGCTTCAAGAGTACTGCACTGGTTTCGGTCACAGAATTAATTCTATCTCTTCCTTGCTGTGTGACTTTATGCAGGTGAAGTCTGCCTTACCATTTTAAGATTCACACCTCTGAGAGGTATCCTCTGCTCATAGTGCTATCCAGTGCTCAACATAAAGAAAACTGTTACCAAAATCACTGTTGCTATTATTTTTATTATTCCATAAGGTAATTGCCATAGTCTTCCCTAGAACTAGAAATCCTACATTTATCTGTTGAAAAAAATAGCTCTTTGGATTCTACCTTAATACCTAACAATTTACATGTTATTCCCAACATACAGCATTTTTTGGTAAAGGGAGAAATAAATGTTTACAGAGCAACTATTACTTCAACTAAATTCTCACTACCATCCTCAGAGATATAATCTGGCACATGAAGAAACTGAGGCACAAAGAATTAAAGTAGCCAAGATCAAGAGGAAGAACCAGAATGTGAGTCTAAGTTTGCCTGATTCCATTGCCTGTGGTGGATGTATGACATCAAAGGATTCCCTAACTCATAAACTTTGTTATCTAAGAGCAGAAGGCCTTAAAGATGGATATGCACAGCTACATCCAGTTAAGTGACTCCCAGATATCTACTCTTCAGATCCTTAACCAGGCCTCTGTTCCCATCAGCATAACATTCCTCCTCCTAACTGTTGAAAAGATTCCTCAAATTCTTTCCACTGGACATTAAGCTCTTAAGGGGATGAGTATCATTCTCCTTTTATACCCCCAGCAAATAGAAAGCACTCAGTATGTTTGCTGAATGAATTAAATGGAAACTATATTAATGGCCACAAAGTTTAGGGTTTTCATAGTATTAAAATGTGACATAGGAAAACACACAACAAGAACAGTGAAATGGGGAGAGGGTTTCTTAAATAATTTTACTATTGGCCATGATTTCCCTATCTAGCATCAGAGATTCCACTTGATTTACAAACATACGCTTGGTAGCTACAGGGAGACTTTACCTCTGGGCCCCTCCCCACCACAAATGTTCTGCTACACCAGTGATTGCATCTGAGACACTCTTTATGACACAATGGCCTTAACAAATACCACTCTCTCCATGGTTATGCTCAAATGATTTGTAAAAAGAAACAGAAAGAGCAAATGAAAGCAAACTGTTTATAACTAGTGACCTTGGATAAAGGGACTACAGTGAGTTTTTGTACCAATTTTGCAACTTTTTTTGAAATGTTAATATTTTATCAAAGTTAAGTTTTCAAAATCTAAAAATGAATAATACCAGCAAATTTCCCAGGAGATTTCAACACAGAAGGTTCAGTGTATAGACCGGGTTGATATCACATTCTCTTATTAGCTAGTCCAAAAACAACATTCTAGCCAAGCATAGAACTCATGTTTTATAATCCCAGCACTTGGGAGGCTGAGGCAGGAGGATCATAAGTTGGAAGGACAGTCTGGGCTACACAGTAAACCCTGTCTCAAAATAACAACAACAACAGCAACAAACACACTGGCTTAGGCTTTTTTTTTTTTTTTTGCCTATCATCGGGTATCAGAAAAAAAATGACTTCTCTATGTAGTGGGGCATAGCCATGGTTTCTGAGTTGGAGTAGAAAAACTATTTGTTTCTTGAAGGACACTCATGGTATCACAGATGCCTCCTACTGGCCAAAGTCCCAGTACAACTTCCCTTTGCCAGATCCTTTTTCATCAGGGCATATCTGAACACCCATAGTGCCCCCAAGGACATCCCCTCATGCTCAGAAAGAAAGCCCTTTGAGTTCTTACCTTCCCTTTCCCAAGTCTGGCAGATTGGATCAGGTAAGTTTCCTTTTGTCTATGGAAAGACCTAGAGAGAGGACACAAAAATAACCATGGGGAATCACAAAAACAGTAAACTTAAAAGCAGTAGTTACTTGCTCTATAATGATCACCTGCTAGCACCCTCTTATTTATTCATTGCTCCTAACCAATCATCCTAGATTCTCCTCACCCTGGAAACCTTTATAAAGCTGAGGAAGCTAGAACATTTGCAACCACAGTAACTACAGTAACTAGAACAATACAAACTTATGAATGAGCCAACTTTTCCCACTTTGTAAAGGTATCAGTATAAGGGATAGGTAGCTCAGTGGTAGAATGCTTGTTTAGTATGTGCAAAGCTCTGGGTCCAATTTTCAACACCCAAAATTATGGCTAGGATAGTGCCAACGGGTATCGCCCAACACCCACCATTCATCTAGAAAAGTGAGGCAAGAAAAGATCACAGGGCTGGTTGATAATGGTGCATGCCTTTGATCCCAGCACTCGGGAGGCAGAGGCAGTCGGATCTCTGTGAATTCAAGACCAGCCTGCTCTACAAAGCGAGTGCCAAGATAGGCTCCAAAGCTACACAGAGAAACCCTGTCTTAAAAAGCCAAAAAAAAAAAAAAAGATCACAGTAAATTATCCTGATCAGATCATCTTAAGTCAGCATGTCAGTTCTATCTTCTTCAGTTCCTATTTTTTGTAAACTCCATGAAGAGGTACATTATGTCCCACGATAATATTCAACCTCATTTTAGCCTCCCTCTCTGCATCCCTGATCAAAGATTCTAAGAGCTCTCTAATATCACGTCTTCACAAACACCTGATGTCTCCTGATTTCCTCACCACCCCCAAAATATGTGATTAGTTTCAGCTAAACCTCAAAGTAAAAAAAAAAAAAAGAGAGGGCTTTGTATAGCTTAGAGGACAAACATTTGTTATGGTTGGTAGAACACAAGAGAGGGGAAAGACAACATTATTAAAGGAGATGGCCATACTAACCCTGTAAGTCTTCAACATCCTCGTACTTTAGCTTTCACTAACCCACGTCTCAGGTTTGATAACTGCCCCGGAATCATCAGCTGTGATGATGGTCCTGGGACTCACCTCTACAAGCTAGAAAGTGATTCACATGTGCCCTGAAAGCTGTTTCCAAGTCGTTCCCGATCCCTTCACTTTGAACTGCCTGGAATAAGAATCATACCACACTGAGGAAACAAAGTGTGGATTCCACAGTTAGAACACTGTAAACCTGTATTATTTCAGAACTAATTGGTTAAAAAATGTGAGGAACTCTTTCAAGGCGACAGTGTTGGAATAAGAGCTCTTCTCTAGTGAACAGAAGTATACAGAAAAGCACAAGTGAAAGAAACGTGACAATGATGGTACCTGATGTTGAGAACTTAACATGAACTGGGCACTCCCCAGCTTAATATGAACAGCACCCCCCAACTTCTGTAATCCTCGAAGTGAGAGTTTATCCTCTAATAATTCAAGTATTTAAACTCAGAGCTCACCTTAGATAAAAAAGAAAACGATAATTATGGAAGGATACTCTTAAGGTTAAACAAAAAAGAAAAAAAACATTTTTACTTACCCATAATGTGAGAACTACACTATTCAAAGGGTACAAAGGCCAGGCTCTGTTCCCACCATTACAGATGTTATAGAAATACTAAACTAAATAAAACACAATGCTTTGTTTCAAGTGGACTCTGCTCTTCTCCCCACCCCCATTCTCCAACCCCCAAGGCTGACAAGAAGTGGCTGCAGGCAAGGTATTTAAGAAGTACTCTGGGAAAGTGGATTCTGGTTAGCATGAACTAGGCAACGATGTTGTGCAACCAGTTTTTACCTACTTTTTTTCATTACTTTTCAGAGTTTAGGGAGTAGCATTTATCTTTATCTGACTGAATGGAGGGAATGAAGTCGCCTTTCTGTCTAGGACACTGGAATCACAGTCACCACGGTTTTGATTTCTTGTACAACCAAACTGTGGAGCGTAGAGGGTGGGGTTCTCACCCTCAGCTTCAGAGATGAGTGCATCTCACAAGGTAGGGGTCGACCCTTGCACACACCTCAGAACACAAGAGTTCCTTCCAACTCAGAACGCCAATGGAGTAGCCAAACAAGTTTCTTGCCCAATCCCTATATATGTCCTAGGGCTGCACAGAGATAAACTCTTAAGCATGTCTTCACATACCACCATTGAGGACACTCATCTGAGATCCCACCTCACTTTCTTCCTGACAAATAATGAGCGCAGGTTGCCCTGTGTAATTTAAAGCCAGACTCCACCAAAGCCAAGGCTCTGCTCTGAAATGCAGGAGGAAAAGATTGGGGGATCAAATAAATAGATAGATAAATAAATAAACAAATAAATGTGCCCCCCTAAGAGGAGGTAATAAAACGAACTCAAGAGCTGGAGAAAAGTTAACAACTGTGCCATGCCCGGTGGCAGAAAAAAAAATCTCCCCGTAATTGGCAAAGCCCCGGCGATTCTCCGACCCCCAGGACCGTAGGGCGCTTGGCGGCTGCGACCACTCGCAATGTTCTAACAATGACCGGAGAAAGGAAAGTTCGCTGGCCGTCAGGGCGCCCGCGCTCCCGCTAGGTTGGCATCTGGGCTCTCGGGGTGCCTGCTTGCTCCCTGCACTGCCCGTCTCCCCCTCTCCAGACACTCGGTGTCTTCCCGCTCCGCAAGGCTCAAACAGCCAGGGTGCGCACCCCTGCTGCTCGGACCAGCCAGCCAGCCAGCCACAGGCGGCAGAAAAGAGCATGCCCTCTAGCCCCGAGGTCTGGCCCCCACGAGTCCCGGATAGCACGGACCCG